TCAAGGAGGGTGGGATCCTCGCTATTGCCGGCAGGGGATACAGTCGGCTTGACGGCTGAGAGGTAGCAATCCCTAGCTGTTTTCTGATCCCCACTCAGGGAACCCACCATCCCATCATCCCTCTCGAATTTTATCAGCATGAGAGAGGGATGATGGCTGCTTTCGACTCGTTGAGGGTAGGACGACCCAAGATAAGGTTGTAGGCGGTCAGTTCCTCAACAACCAGGAACTTGACAACCATATGTTGTCCATCCCCCTTCTCGCCCCAACCGGATGGACAACTCCTCCCCCAAAGCCAACCAAAGGGTGAGAAGCCGCCTGCATGCTACTTGGCTTGTATTTCAGCTTAGCCAAGCATTGGTAGCTTATGAGGTCAGACGTGAAAGGAATGGTGTCCTTCCAACAAGTGTATTATTCCGGTAGAGGGTTCAGAATTATTACAGAGCTAATTCTTCAGTAAGGTCAAGTGATCGGAATGCCTAGGTGGAGGCCGCTTCCGATCAGTAATATCGAGGTACAATTGATATTACAGCTTAATCTTAACTGAACCCTTCGGGTCGAACCCAATCGAATCTCCGATCCGAGACGTCGATTAATCTGAAAGGATTTAATGAGTCGACAGAGTTTTACGAATACAGACGTCGGAAATCGAGCCTAGGGCGTCGAGACCGAGCGTCGCAAAATCACAATCGACAAGTATGAGTGTAGCCATAGCTGGGCTAGGCTAGCTCATCATAGTCACTAGGCGCGCCATGGCAGCCCTAGCATCATGCGTGGCCTAGGATGGCTGGGCGCCATCGCAGCCCAGGCAGCATCACTAGGCGCACCATGCGTGCCCTAGGATGGCCTGATGCCATAGCAGCCCTAGCATAGTGCTGGGTGCATGGCAGGGCCACACGCACCAAGCACAGCTAGTGCTAGGCTCTGGCGCATGCGTGGTGCGTGGTGCTTGGGCGAGGCATGTGCGTGCATGGTGCACAGTGCATGGCCATGGCTGATGCGTGTGGCTGTGCGAGTGTGTGCGAGGGGCTAGCTAGCTAGCAACGTCAAGCCAAGTATGTGTGGCTTGCTAGCAGCACGCATGCTAGGCATTGCGTGCGAGAGAGGATGGTGTGTGGTGCGCATGATGTGCGAGTGTGGTGCGAAGCAAAAGGCCAGCATGCGTGGCTCGCTAGCAGCACGCATGCTGGGCCATGCGAGCAGCGATGATGCGTCGGCACCAGCGCCAGCACGCACCAACAAGCATGAGCGCTGCTGCTGGGCTTGTGCTAGCATGCTGGGCTAGCTGGCACAGCCAGCTGGCGTGCTAGCTGGCAGCTGGCCAGCAGCCTTGGGTGAGGCGGTTTGTAAGGAGAGTGGGGACCAAGGCTTTTGGAAAGCCTTGGGGAGCAAGGCGTTGGTCCCCCCCCCCCCTCACCTCTCAATGGTCCTCACCTAATACTCTTTCTCCCTTTGACACTTGTCGAATTGTTATTGCATTTTTTTATTAATTTATTTTAAAAATAAATTAATTGGAAAATAAAACATTCTCCCACATTGGTTGGGGAATGAGAATCAAGGGATCATTTCCCTATAAATACCAAGATTGGTATTGGGAATTGAAACAACCTTGATTGGAATTAAAAAGGCAACTCTAAGGAAAGAGTAAACCTTTGATTCGTAAAACTCATAGTTATTTTGTCCGGGTCTTGACCAACCTTCAAGACTTAGGACGCTCGGGTCGGGTCGAGGGTACGATCCGTCGAAGATCTCGTCTTTTCGGGATTTTGAAGTAAGAGCTCTTTGGGAGCGAAGCACGCGTCAAAGGTATAATCCTTGTCCTTAATCTTGTTTGAATAAGTTTATTATGCTTGTTTAATTGCTTTAATTAAGGGGCGGGTCTTGGTGGGTTTCCTTCCACGTAGTGTCGGGTCACTACGAAACCCTACAAGACGAGCTCCTGGTATCTATGAGGATCCGACCCACTCGCTGATTAGCGACTTTGCACTCGATGACTATGGGGTCGTCACGAGGCCGCCTGAACTTTCCTCGATCCTTCTCGGAAACGAGGACCTCGGGGAAGGTGTCTATTGACGCCTGGCCCTCATCCACTGAGTTGACCAGACACTGGATGTTATCCTTTGCCCCCCGGATGGTTGGACCCCCTCCGGCGAAGCCGCCTGCTGTGGTGAAGATGGGCTCTTCATCCGTATCAGAGCTGACAGCCGACTTCTTGGACGGTTGTCCTTTCTTCTGTTTGGCAACGCCCTTGGGCTTTACCAAGCAAGACCTTAGGGCCCCCTCATCAGCCAAACGGTCCAGCAACCGCCTAAGTCCAAATTAGTCACTGTTGTCATGACTGATGTCCTCATGGTACTTGCAGAACTTGCTCTTGTCCCGGCTGTGGACGGGATTTTTCATAAGAGCCGGCTTTTCAATAGTCATCCGGTTCTTAATCTCCATAAGGATGGAGGATGGGTCCTTGTTGAACTCGTACTTTGGGACATACGGTTTCAACTCTCTAACTTTCTTCTAGGACGGCTGACCAGTACGATCGGCTGCCCAGACTTCTTTTCTCTTGCCCTTTACTTTGGCAGCCGGCTGGGCCTCCTATCGGACCGCTTGGAGTCCGACGGATGCCTGATGGCACACAGCTCCGTCGCCTGTATATAGGCTTCGGCCTCCATCAGGGCTTCTTGAAGGGTGCCAACCCTCTTACGGACGAGGTCGAACTTGAAGACCGACCCGTCTTTCAGACCCTTGAAGAAGTCTGTATAAGCAACCTCATCCGTCAGGCCGGTTATCTGAATTCTCATCAGATTAAACCGCCTGACGTAGGATCGGAGTCCCTCCTTCTCCCCCTGCTGTATGGCCCCTAGATCGAGGTTTGTCTTTTTGGCAAGGATGTTCATGGAGAAGTTGTACGTAAAGAGATACGCCAACGTCTTGAAGTTGTTTATGCACCCGGCTAGGAGGTTTCCAAACCACCACTAGGCTATGCCCTTAAGGGTAGCTAGGAAGCATTTGCACCACACGGCGTCATCCAACCCCTGTAGGTACATGAGGTTGGTGTAGGCCATGAGGTGGTCTTCCGGGTTGGTCGTACCGTCGAAGGTACCGACCAACACGTTCTTAACCTTGGCCGGCTGGGCCGCCTCGGTTATTTTCCTGGAGAACGCGGACGGCTGTTCACCAAGATTGAGCAGTCGGAGCTGCCAGTCGGCAGGCTGGACGAGTGTCGCCTGACCTTCAAATAGAACCAACTGCATGTATGGGGGTCCATAGGGCATGTATGGCTGTTGAGGCGCATACGGTGCCGGCTGGATAATCTGAGGGCCAGTTCGTGCGGACATGTCGCGCGACTAACTCTCTCGCTTTGTTTCCGAATGCTTCATGGAAGTATTATGGAAATTGTCTGGGAAGGTCGGCGTGGAAGCCGACTTAGACATCTGCTGACCTCTCCTCTCCTGGATCAAAATCCGGGTGTCGGAGTAAGTCCTTTTGGACCCATCCGGCTGTACATGTCGGATGGCTTTCCGTTGCCCTGATTTAGGGAAACAGAGCCTTGAGAGATCGATCAGGGGCCCATCCGTCCCCTTTGGCTTTGGGTGCGGAGTAGGCACCCGGTCTTTCACTTGCTTCTTCCCGGAGGGAGAAGCCTTCTTTGCCTCCTGCCCCTTCATTGAAGGGGAAGGCTTCTTGGCCGACTGACCCCTGTTGGGGGCAGTAGACTTCTTGATGATGTCCGTGATTTTGCCCTTGAAACTAGTCATGAATTTCATGAGTTCGTCTCTTGTGACGAAGATTGAGCCCTTCGCCGCCTGGGGTACCCTAGCCGGCTGGCCGACTGGGGGTTTAGGGACTGCATCTTCACCCGGCTCCCTTACTTCTCGGGAGCGAGTGTGCCGGGATCTAAATGACCCGTCTGGGGCCACATAGGTGTCGATGTCATTATCGTCACCGTACCACTGCCAGGGTCCGGTTGGACCTCGGCCTCGACCATAGGCCGTTTACCTTCGGCAGGCGGTACATAGTCAGAAGTCATCTTGGAAGTACTCTCCCCACAGACGGCGCCAAATGTTTTAGGGTTTTTTATGTATCCTGCGGGAGAGTTACAATTCCGAGACTGAGCTTGCTGACCGGTTGTACCTGCAAAACAACGAAACTCCGGTTGGGTGGAGTTCCGCCTCCAACGATCAAGTTAGAACGTGTGTAAGGAGTTTATACGGAAATAAACGTGTTTCTCTCTGATTCAGAGAGGGAATCTGCAATTTAATGCTCTAGTTTTCTGTGTTTGGCAATTTATGAATCCCAATAAATGAGGATTTTTCCTCTATTTATAGGACAAGGGGATCAGTTCTCCTGACCAATGATAACATGCCACGTGTCAACCTGGGATTGAATCCCACTGGGCCGCTCTGAGACTGACACGTGTCAGCTTCTAATCTAGCCACGTGACTAGGGTAAAAATTACCCTAAACAAAACCTACAGTAAAATCAATTCCTTGAAGAAAAAAATACACTTAAAATTCTTCGCAACTATATTGGATTATTTTTTTTTAAAATAAATAAATAATTGTGTGCGCGCAGATGTTGGCAGGGCAATTTGCTCAAAAATCCCATCTTTTCTGTCGGATTTTGCATAATTCCCAGGTATTATTTTCTCCTTAATACTCAATTTTAATTTTTAAACTTGCTTCATAATCTTACATTTGCTTTGTGCCTATTTTTTCTGACTATGAAATATTGTCTATATTGATAGAATGAGAGTTTCTTGCTCCGTTCTTTTATTTTTGTCCCATTTAGAATCTTGGATGCAACGGTTTAATCGCCTCAAACCATGTATCTTTTAATAAGATTACCCTTTATTATGGTATTCCAGTGTTAAAATGGACTGTTATAGACTTATAGAGGAAATGAGAGGTACTTGTAATTGTTTCGGAGGCGAAAAAAATGAGGGAGTGGAGGGATCTTTCTCTCCTCTTGATCATGTGTATCAAATATTTATGAAATATTAGAATATGGTTGAGGAAATGGTTGATCAAAAAGTAAAAGATAAAATATGTAATTTCGCTAACTTGTATCTGTCACAAATTTTAACTGTTCAGACCTGGTTGATCTCTCACGGAAGTAGCTATGCCGACAATATTTCAATTTCAATGCCAAAACTATCGACATTTCGAAATGTGAGTACATGGCCGGAATTATCTTATTCACTAAGGGATTGTGAAAGCAAAGCTTCTGTGGATCTTTGCAATGGGAAGACTGAAGTAAATTACAGTCTTGAAAGGCCTTATCATGTTGTGGTTGCTGCAACTCGAGAAATGGGAATTGGGAAGGATGGAAATTTGCCGTGGAATTTTCCATCTGATCTCAGATTCTTTAAGGAGCTCACAACAACTACAATAGGTGATGGTAAAAGAAATGCAGTGATAATGGGGAGGACTTGGGAAAGCATTCCTCAAAAGTATCAGCCTTTACCTGGCCGCATCAATGTTGTGGTAACTCATGCAAGGAAGTTGGGAGCTGCAAATTTTGAATATTTAGTTATATGTAATGGCTTGTCCTCAGCAATGAAGTTACTGGCAGAACCACCTCATTATATGTCTATTGAGAAGGTGTTTGTTATAGGAGGTGGCGAAATTCTGAAGTAAATTGATTGTAGCTGTGAGAATAAGTTCCTTTGGTACCACTGTAGTTTATTGTTGAGTGTTTTTAGAGATTTAGGCCTACATAATTTGCTGTGGAAGTTTTGATACTACGATTAAATTTTAAAAATGGAAATCAGAACAATGTGAAATTAGTTGGGTTGTAATCTTAGTTTCATTTTTATTGTTATAACGGGTTGCTGATGGTCATTTTCTGTTATTTTGTTACAGAGAAGCATTGAATGATCCTGGTTGGGAGGCGATTCATCTGACTGATATAGAGGCAAACATTAAATGCGATACATTCATTCCCCAAATTGATTCATCATTGTTCAGTCCATTGTTCTCATCCAGGCAGATGGTGGAAACTAATATTCAGTTTTCTTTTATGACTTATGTCCGCAAGAGCAATGCTGCTGAAGTATCCTCCAGTTCACAAGATAGTGGTTGTGATGTTGACAGTGGAAGGACTGTAAACAAGGCATTGAATTTTCACAAGAATCATGCTGAGCTTGATTATCTCAAAAGGATTCAAGAGAATATTGCCAATAATATTCTAAAGTGAGCGAGCACATATATGATATATCACTATCTCATTCTCTCTAGGCACTGCTTGATGCTGCATTGCATCCTTTAGTGTGTATTGAAGCGACTGAATACTTCTCAAACGTCTGGATGATGAGTCTATCCTATGTTAGGGTAAATTTTACTGTAATGCCACTGTATTGCTGTCATATTATGAAGAAGACCTTTAGGATAAAAAAAAAAAATTAAAAAAAAAAAAAAATCTGCATTGTACATATTTTATATTTTTTTGGTGATAAATATCTTTTGCTTACATATTTGCGGAAATTTTGTAGCAGTTGGTAATCCGTCTGTACATGGCTTGCATTTTATTGTGGTGATGGTGAATGATTCAAATTTAAATGGACTGACAGTCACCTCATTATTTTGTTTGATTAAAATTGGAAATAGCTTTGGGTTGGGACGGTTCTTCTCATATAATCAGATCTTCAGGAGGCTGTAAGAAATATCAGCAGATATCGTTTACATTTATGAATTTCGTTTGAATCACACGATATGTTAACGGTAAACAAACAAGAAAACTGCAAACTAATTTTCTCTCATTTCTATGAATATTAACCTTGGGAGAAAACTATAACATCCATCATATCATTACTGTACAAATAATATAGGGAAATTCTCTGTTAATCAAAACTCTACAGCAATACACAATGCTGAGAAAGAGACTCAAAGAATATGGCAAGTTTCTCGTAAACAGCAACCCATTCTTCACCGGCTGAACCTTCTCTCCAGCAAATTTAATGATAAACATAAGCAGCAAACTTCTATGGAAACTCCACATTCACGTTGTTTCGGGGTTTTTCGAGTCCCTCGGGAGAGTTACAATTCCAAGAATGGATGTCGACCATTTGTACCTGCAAAACCACGGAAGCTCCGGTTGGGTGGAGTTCCGCCTCCGACGATCAAGTTAGTATGTGTACGGACGGAGTTAAAAGTGCGAAATGTAAAGAGTTTCCCTCGGATTCAGAGAGAGAATATCTGCAATTAATATTGCTCCGATTTGTTAACATTTCTGAATGTGCAATAAATGGGGATCTCTCTCCCTATTTATAGGGTTTGAGGATCAGCTCCCCTTTCATGACTTAGATTGCCACGTGTCATCAGAGAATTGGTTCTTTCAGAACCTCTCTGAGGGTGACACGTGTCAGCATGCAATTGGTCCACGTGGACCGGGGTATTTTACCCTAACCATTTTCCCCTCACAGGTGTGACGTGGCTGGCCACGTGGCACCTATGACAGGTGTCACCATCTGAGAAGGCGATGATTCGCCTCCTTCTCTCTTTTTTTTTTTTTTTCGAGAGGCAATGGTTCGCCTTCTGGGGGATTTCCTCTATAAGTAGAAGCCCCCCCCCCCTCATTTTCCTCACTTTAACATTCTTGAGAAATTTTCCGAGAGAGAAAAGAGAGCTTTGAGACCGGCTGCTATTTATTCCATAACCGCCTGCCACTTCTTGACCCAAACGGCTACCGCCTAGCTACTCATCACTCAAAGCTTATTAGTACCGCCTGAGCATACTTTAATTGATTCCCTCTGCTTCCAATACACCTACATCCGATCAACCGCCTGGGGTATCATCAAGCAAGGCTTTAGAGAAATGTCTGGGTTCCTCAACAATCTTTGATTGCTTTCCAAGAGGGTACATCCAGGCAACCGTCTGGGTATCTAGCAAGCAACTGAAAGATTTCCGCCTGCTGATTCAGCTGGTTAGCCTCTTCCACATCTAAAGAATCTTCAAGGGACCGTCTCAACCCTTTACAACTTTTTTAAGCTTTTCCGATTGTATACCTTGTAGAGAATAATGGATTCACCCAACACACACACGGCACGGCCTAGGATAGTTGTCAGTCGGTCTCTTGATACGGCTGAGTCTAGGACTGGTGATGTCATCTAGGGGTGATTGGACCACCCTTTCTCTTCCACGAATCTGACCGTCTCTGTGCATGTGCAAGACAGGATGGATCGGACGAAGCGCACGGCTGTTGACCCCGACTACAGATCAGACGGCTCAGCAGAAGCGCCGGCTGATAAAGAATATTTTGACCCTCCGGGTGCACCAAGCACACCCAGTGACAATATTTTAGAGGAGTCTGAGGATGTAGGCGGTGATGAGACCGTCAGGGGAGACAACATCATTAGAACCGGATGCCTTCCAAGAGGATGAGGAGGCGTACAAATGGCCCTCCATCAACAATCCTACTGAAGCGCACATGTCCGCCAGGGACATCGCTACCCTGAATGCCACCTTCCCCGCCTTCATAAAGAAATGCTCGGTTGGGGATAGATGGGAGGTATTAGTACGGCCTGCAGAGGCAACCGTTGTCTGGGATGACGACATTGATCACGCCAAAAACTATTTCGGCTGTTATGAGGCAACATTTAAAGCCGGCCTCCAGTTCCCTTTCCACAACGCCATTAGAGCTATTTTAAGAGGCTATGATCTGGGCATCTGGCAGTTAACACCCAATTCACGGGTGAACATTTTAGGATATATTGCCGCCTGTGAGATGCAGGACGTAACGTCTAACTGGGAGGCGTTTGCACATATGCATTACCTCAGCCATGCCCCAGGCGGTTGGCGTGCATGGTATACTTTGACCATGCACCCAGAATAAATGATGACGCTTGACAAGCCGTCAAAATGGAGCAGTTGGAAGAGAAAATTTTACTTAGTTTCCTCTCCTTCCTGCCGCCTGAACCGTTAGCTCCGGCACAATAATAGGGATCCGGCTCTTCTAGGGAAGAAGTGTTCCCTTCCCCACGTCCCGGAGGAGGCATATACACAAATAATAGAGGCGGGGTTGTTTGAGAGAACTATCATGCCCCTAGATGACGGGTTCAAGATTATTGTACCCAAGAATTGGGTACCCCATCCGGACTGGCTTAAGTATGAGGATTTCCTCTTCGCCTGCGGCCTTAGCACCTTTTTCAGCAGACGTATGTAGAGAAGTTAACCGACTCTTTGCTGCCGTCTATCATATTCTGAGTTGTATTTGACTTGTTGATTTTCTTTTTGCAAAAAAGGACTAGAAATGGTTCCGCCTGAGAAGACATTGGCCAAGTCTACTGCCCAGTTCCGAAAGTATCAATTAGAAAAGAAAAAGGCCCAACTGGCGGCCAAGGACGATGGGGTAAGCTCCGCCTGCTTCCTTTTTACTATCTGTATAGTTTTGATATCAATGCAATTATTAACCGGTTGTGTTCTGTTTCTTTTTCAGGCTGGAAGCAAGAATGTTCCTCGCTCTATCTCAAAAATGTTAAAAAGGAGGGCTGAGAAACCCTCCCAGGCTCCTTCCAAGGCAAGGAAGGTTCCAGCTGCCCCCCCCCCCCCCACTTCTGGAAGACCGCCTGTATCTTACAGGCCAACCTCAGCAAGCAAGAGCCTGAAGGACCTTGGTCTAAACACCAAGCCGGTTGACCTTGAAACGAGGGAGCCTGAGACGCCCTCGAGTCGGCATCTTGCTGCAGCAACCGGCTCCAATGCGGCTGGGGGTAGGGTGACCCCTCAGCTTGAAAATGAAGGTATGGCTTTCACCTTTGATCCCCCCTAGCCGCTTGGGCCTATGCGAGTCAAGTCCCAAGCTACCCAATCAGGGGATTCCTCCGACAGTCGGGAGAATATAGGTGATACATATGCTCGTTACTTAACAAATAACTCTATTGGTGCAGATGCATCTTCCCCGTTGGCCTGACCTCCAAAAATACGTAAAGAGGATGATGAGGACCCTCACACGGTCCGAGAAGGAGGCGGTTTCGGGTTTGCATCAGGTCAACATGGACCGCCTCAACACCCTGCTTGCTGAGGTAATTTGCCGGTTAGGGTATTGAAGCCAAATTAGCTCTCCACCGGCTGACATATAGAATGCGTTTTTACCTTTTTGCCGGTTGTACAATAATTGAGAGACTAACTCTTTTCCGGCTGATTTTACAAGAGGTAAGGGACGCCAATAGGCAGGCTGCTGATACCATAGATGTTGCTCAATACAACACACTAATGTATGACATTAAAACTAAAAGCCGGGAGATGAAACAGGAGGAGATTATCAAGCAGCTCACTGCAGCTATGGAGACGGCCAACAAGAAGGCATCTGACTTTGAGCTGCAAGTGAAGAACCTCCAATTCGATCTCAAGGCACTGGGTGATGTTGATAAGGACAACTCCCAGCTCTGGGCAGACGTCTCCCGGCTGAAGAACGAGCTGGCCCAGACGCAGGCCGTTTACAAGGCTATGCTGGCGGCCGAGTAGGACCGGCTGGTTGCTGAAAACGAGCAAGACTGCGAGGCTCGTATGAAGATGGCCTGGTCCCTTGTCCAACCGGACTATAATGGGAGTTCTTCGAGCTGAGGTACAAGTATGCTAATGAGGTGTACGATGCTCAGGCTCTCGGCCTTGAAAAGCCAGCTCCCTTCGAAGAATGGGCTAGCATTGCGAGCTTAGAGGAAGATCAGGAGGAGGAGCAGGCGGAAGAACAAGGGTCGGTTGATGCTAATCAAGCCCAACCTCAGCAAAATCAGGATGCTCCTCCATCCGGCCAGGGCTAGACGTCTCCACCTCCCGAGCAGCAGTGAACTTTATTTTTATTTCCGACCTGCGTGCCGAGTATTCTTGATGTATTCTCTCTTCTCCCCGGACATAGTTCCGGCTGACAATTACTCTTGGATTTTTGCCAATTTTTAATAGAATTTTCCAACTGAGTCGGCTTTTGCTTATATTTGCCTTTGATATATTTTCCTTCAATTTTTGCAATTTCCTAGCATGCATGCACAAATCTCTTAGCGCATGCGGTTTACCGGATGCATTGGCTTCTTCTGCCCCTAGACAGTTGTTTGCTTGGTAATTGCCCCACCCTAAGAAGGCAGTCGTCCAATCAAGCATCCGAACGAATAGACAAACGGTCATTGGCCATCTTTAGAGAAATTTCTCAAATAATTATCTAAGTTGGAATAGCAGACGGGTTCGGTTAGGGACCAAACTACATTA